AGTGTGTTTCAGGTTTTCACGTTTTACGTCCCCTTAAAAATTCAATTTTAAACCTTAAACTAAAAACAAGACGTAAATATCTTACAACAGTCGTGAAAATCTAAAACATAAAAAATGGCGCTTTCAACAGAACACCAGCGACGAGGCCGCAAAAAAATGCTGCTAAATACGAACATAAATCACAATATTTTTTAGACGTGTGGGAAAAGCTTAGGTGATCGTCTTTCTCTTTATTGATATTTATTGTGAACGAATGGATTTTATAACTCTGTGTTGTCCGCCGTCTACCCTTTCAGGGCACCATTTAAAAAACCACGTACCCAAATTCCTTATATAGTCACACGTTTTTCGTGATCATTCAAAATGCATGCAGGTGACTTGCTGAATATGGACAATTACAATCTAGCCTTTTATGCTCCCTAAAACGACTTTCATATTAGCAAACAAAGTGCGCTTTTATTCTTTGAATGTCTGTTGATATATATTGTTGTCCTCATTATTATTTACGAAAGTTCAAGGAAAATATTGCGTGCATATAATTCACATCCAATTAGGTGTCGTACCCATGGTAGGGGAACAAGTCCAGACGGTTATTTTCCGCAGCCTGGCACGCGCCCAGCCCTGGTGCCCACATAACTCTCAGGCAGCTGTATGTAAATGCATGCGTTAAATATATACGCTGGTATCTCGTTTGGAGGACATCCACGCCTATCTATGTGCCGTAGCCGCAGCCGCCGCCGCTCCTCGCAATTTGATTAACGAGAATGCGCCCTTTAAATTAAATTACACTCTTCGCATTCCCTTCTATAATTTCCTACATCACAGAGCACGACAACTAGTGATTAGCTTCAATGCTCTACAAGGAAGCATTTATTAGTGATGATAATACGTAAACACCTACACGCGAAAACAACATGCAAACTGATACAAGTTGCCGCTTATCGCTATCGCATCTAGTGGCTACAGTTTATCAATTTCTGTCAAGTGCCACTTCCCAGTAGTTTAGTTGGAAAATACGATTTTATAAGCAAAACAGGGACGTTATGTAACGATGCTAGTTTTGCATGCCAACGAATGTTATAGCTGAGTTAACTATCATGTGTTGTTAAATGGCTACGTAGTTAATTTCCTAAATACTGTGTAATGCAATCGATAATACTAAGATATTAATTTAATGAGGATTCTTAAGGAAATATCATCAGTATAATTTATTAGAGAATATTAGCAAATGTGGCAGTGCGTCTACACACGCGTGGCAGACCGTCGCGGCTCGCGTGGCTTGCCAAAGCGTGGGAGCGGACGGCGCACTTCCGGCACGCGAGCTATCGCACGTGAGCCAATGGATACGGCATTATTATGACTAATCTATTGTAAGAGCGTTTTTGTGTCAGTCCGGCGCGTGATACGATAGTTATCACGTAATCAACAATTACTCTCGTAACAATATAAATTAACACGCACAGTTTAAAACAAGAGCATGTTGTGGGTTGAACAGTCAAGACAATCGTGATTACAGCTCTAGACGTAATTCAAGATATGATTTATCTTGATGATTTCCATATTCGATTGCTAATTGCTTGCCAGCCCACACCGATCGGTGTTCGATCTTTAATCTTAAGACGATAAAGCATCGAGTCTGACGCCTTAGCTGCTGGGTTGTGGGCGCATGAGTGCATGGGCGCTGGCGGCGGCGTGGGCGCGTGGGCGGGTGCCGAACACGCGAGCCGCCGCGACTAATCCGGCGGCAGCGATGTTTATCATTCGATGATGGATCGTCGGCGTCTTAATAGCTTCCTCTAGTCGCCTGCGCCGCACGTTTGTACATTACGGCTTGCACAGACACGAACATTCATCTCTACCTTACGCTTTGCTATCAGGTTTTTACAAGTTTGTATAATTTAGTAAAACTTTGTTTAAGTGACCAATGAGATTATGACTTAGAAGTCTTATACGAAATCTTGTACTATATCGATTCGAATTCGAAGTCAATTACGATTTGCAAAATAACATATCTCGCGTTTGTAACTTTCACCTTGACGATTGTCGATTTTTCCATCATGAGAATGTCAATCATTGCGAACAGATTTTGGTTTGTTGATATCAACAGAACGACATGACTTTGTAACAACGTCGTAATTTCTCTGTCCAGATGTTCCGATTGTAATCAAAACCGCAGCTATTTCGAGCGTTCTAAATTGAAATTCGAGTGTAATTTCAACACGATGGAATTGTTGAGGATCCTCAGGGCGCTCGTGTGGGTGGAGGGGCGCGTTCCCACGACAATTAGCTGGTGCCTACGTTCGCCCACGCGCCCCGCCGCCGCCGGCAGCCATCGTCGCCGCTTGACTCACACCACACCGCTGCCGGTCTACGCAGCGCGTCTAGACTGACAGGGCTGCCAAGCGCTCAATTTAACAAAACAAATAATAACAAAACCCCGACATAATCAACGTCCCATCTAGTCAAAGCGATAATGTCATAAAATCTCGACTTTATTAGCTTTGAAAAGAATTAAAAGTGAATTTCCCTTACATCATCCGTCTCGATATCTCTTAGGTGACTTACAATAATAATCAATGTATTCTTTTTATTTTGATAATGTTACTTTGCACTGAGACTTTTCTATACAAGGATTGGTAGTTTAGTAATTATAAACGGGATTTGTCGACCCTATATTTTGCTACCTACATCCATAATTGTTAAGTGACCACAATCGGTTAGATGGAGCAGTCGCCGCGCCGGCTTGATCCGCGAAGTGGGTGGCAGTTTATTGGACATCATTTGGCATTACTTACTTGCTGACGGCTGTACCACGCCAATTGAAAGTGTTCACTGACTTGGCTGTAGGTATATATACATTGCTTGCTATATACTACTGAGAACATCTTGGCTGCATCAATAGTTAACAAGTCCCATGTCCCTGTTGTTTCATCAGCACTCTTAGCCTTCAAAACCGGAACGCAATAACGCATACATTACTGCTTGGTGACAAGCTGTGAAATAAATACTCTACTTTATGCTGAAATATTGTATGCTTGCCGTCGTAATAAATGGTGTACTGGATTAAGAAAATTTTTTATTAGTATGTCGGTTTTAGTAGCAGTAGAGCTCCTTGTGAAAGAGTTCGTCCGGGGAAGTACCCCTTACCTATTTCTGCCGCCAAGCAGTAATGTGAGCATTACTGTGTTCCGGTTTGGAAGGGAAGGGTGCTGGTGAAATTACAGGTACATGGGACTTGTCAACTTATGTCTCAGGGTGACGGGCGCAGTGGCAGTGCCCATAAGATCTTTGCGATTTAAAGCTCTGACATGGCACTGCAACTGTTATGGATGGACGTGTCGCTTACCACCAGGCGCATGACTTGTTCATCTCGTCGGTTAGTATTACAAAAATTAAAAACAAAAAATCTAAAAACTGACTATAAATAATATACATAATATAGTATCGATGATAATATATGCAATATAACATTTTTCACAACACGTTAAAAGAATTGAAAATGTCTGGCTCAGAAATGCACAAATTGTAAAGATTGTGTTAGTATATTATAAAGGATTTACAAATACACAAGAAGAATTTCTCTCACGCGGACAGAGTCGTGACCGTTGGATTTGGCAAGCCGCTAAATAGTCGGCTCGACGTGGATGCATTATCAGCGATTGTGCTCGTTTCTTTGTAGACTTACATATTATACTGCAAAGTGATCTTTATTGCTCAGATAGTAATAGATATAATGTGTTTGCAATCTACGTATATACTTCTATAGGATAGACACCGTTGTCAAAAACACCTGATTCGTCAAAATGATTTAAAAAAGAAACTGACGCGTATCTGGCGCACACAGACGATTGTACTAAATTAAATCTCTTTTTTTTACATTTTACACAAATTATAATTAAAAAAATAACTAATATGTGTTTAGGTCACATTATTATTGATAGACAACCCTTTTTACACCTTACAAACAAAAAATAATGTCTCAATATTTTTATTCTTTACTATATTACCACGTCTCACAGAAAGGTTATATGCTAACAAAATTATATTCATTTCAATTTGAATTTATACGCAATGTACCTACTTACCGATCGACCGTCACCCGATACATTTCAAAATTTTTCTTACCATCATACGTTCATGGAAAAACGTTGTCTGTGCATACTTGTATTCATTAATGTTGTAGAAAGTAATTAATTTACCTATTTTATGTCATTAGTAGCAAAACAAAATTTAAAAATCTAAAGATATTAATTGCATCGTCGATCGAGTTGCTGCCGTACGTGCGGCTCACTCGTTAATGTCTTTTGTATGAAGAAGAACGCAATTAATTAAAATTTTACTAGAATCATAAATTTGCCAAGATATTTAATTATTTTTAAAAAATGTGTAATATTAAAATAATTATTAAATCGACCGCGGTTACTTCGTTAATCTTAATCTGCTATTTAATTTAATGACTGGGGAACAAAATTAATAATAGTCTCGTAATTACTTGTAAATTATTTATTAGTTTCGATTATGCTAATAAAGGTTAGAAGATAATCTGGTTTAATAATTCAATTAAGTCGGACTTGACAGGTATGGAGGTTGAGAATGAGAACCTATGGTGTCATGATTTTTTTTATATATTTAACCCGGGAACCCCTCATGACGGTCCTCCTAATGGAAAGTATTTCAGTTATCCATAAACATTTGCGATGTTATAAAACTATCTATATTGAGATTTATCTCTTTGCATAGCCATATATGAATAGGAAAAGCATACATAATAGTGGTTTGAATCCAGAACACAATACTTTAGGTACAACACGGTACTTTGCGTTAGAACTTAGAGCGATGGTATTTTTATACCCAGGCGGGTTCTACACAGATAACTCACCGCTATATATCTTTTAAGTCAAATAAAACTAATTGCAGATATTGCGAAAATTGTATACTGCACTGCGCAAGATTTCCCTTAATCTAACCATACAAACAATAAAAGAATATAATCAGCTTACCCTTCGGCTGTCCGCCGGCGGCTTCTTCTCCGGCGCGCTCATATTCGCTCCCGCCTGCGGGCTACCCACACCGGTCACCATGTTAATGCTACACACCTCTTCTGCTAACAGTCACTGCATAATCAACTTCCTAATGTTCAAATAAGTATCTTCACTCACTGTCCAAAAAATACAAAGTATCTTAATTTTTTAATCTTAATATTAAAATTGTTGACGACCTCGAAGCGAAAAAATATAGAGATGAATTTGATTTAGATGTAAATGAGTTTTTCAAATAAATTCGCCTAGCCGGCTCGTAATATTGAGATGTAATAGAGCCCGCGTGTCAGGCGAACGACAGGCGTACGCTGCGGTCGGTAGTCGTCGCGCGACTGTCGCGCGGTCGGCGGCTCGCGTGGCTTGCGGCGGCGCCGCCGCTGCCGCTAGGCCGGGGCGGAGACGCTGTAGCGGCACGCGACCGCATCACGAAGAGGCGGCGGCGGAGGCCTGAAGTGTGCCTCCTATGGGGTTTCCACGCTTGTTCATTTCAGTGCAGACTAGATGAGACACTTCTTTAAATCGCGTTTACACTTTTAGTCATATATCTCTACAATACATCAACAACGAGTTGGAGCAGTTGCGAAATCTGTATATTAGATATGTTTTCGTACGTAAAAAGTACGACCACACTCCCCGGTAATCCATTCCTAAAGAGACAACCTAAAAATTCTGCTTATTGGTCTCCGTAGAAATAATACTCGCGTTCTATGTTTCGTTTATAAAATCCTTTTTCATCCCTCTTTCCCGAATTATCTTTGTGAGCATTTTAAATACCGTCTAGCTATAGGTGACTGCTTCCGCTTCGGCATTAATTTGTTTCTCATCCTTTAGCTTCAAATATGTATGGATAAATAAGTGTATGGATATACATATTACAAATTATATTATTAAATTTATTGTACCACAAAGTAAATTACAAATTTTAAGAAACTATTTAAAATATTAGTATACAAAGTCGAGCTTATCCCGCGAAGGGATTTCTTCTAACTAACCTTTGAAAAACTGAGAGGAAAGTTGGTTTTTGAGGTTGACATTAAAAATTAATAAAGAAATTGAATGCTAATTTGTGTGTATTTAAAGAGAGAAAAAGGGAAAGGACTAAAAATCCTTTGTGATCGTATGGAACGTATTTTATCGCAATTTTGTTACAAAGACAATTAATAACTAAAACAAAACATTAAAAAGAATACAAAATTGAAAGAATAAATAATTACGAATACAAAAGTATATAATATAAATGAAACGCATATTGAATCCTCATCAAAAATAATCATTTGAGAATTCATTGGAAATATACGTGTACCAAGGTTTATTGAAATTGGTCAACGGAAAGTGGGTGAAAATTAATAAATCGCATTCATCCCCAATTTACTCTTAAAAATTGAATATTTTCTTCATATTTGAATGGAACCACTACCCACCCCTTTTCCACCCCAAAAAAGAATCATCGAAATCGGTTCACAAATGTCCGATTAATCGCGTAACATACAAACAAAAGATAATAATTAAAAATACAATCTAATTGAGAACCTCCTTTTTGAAGTCGGTTAAAAAAGTATATCAAAAAGAATGTGCTGCTGCCATATATACCTCAGTACTTTATGTCAGAATAGATTCACAAAATCCATCCTCTAAGCAAAAGTGTCAAAACTCAAAAGATATGTCAATCTGCATTAGGTACCTCAGCACGATAAATTGTGAATAATGCCCTTTTCTTACGGGTAAGTATATGAAATGAATAATAGATTCCTAAAACTGAAAGTCGCATGGCGACCGGCAGCGTCGCCGCCGCTTTATTATTATTCAAATAGCCGCTGACATCACCGCGACGACGACGACGGCGGCTCTAATGTATTGACACTGCGCATAAATTTGCTCGTCTCCTCTCCTCTGTTCTCCGCCGCCGTTCGCGCCGGTACTTCAAAGCAGCGTGTGCTGCTATTAACATTTATGAACGAGTATCACCCGTAGACATGGACACACTATACTGCACCTTATTAAGTGTCGATACTAGCTCAATTCGAATTAAAATTATTCCCAAACCAACACGGTTCAGTTTGCTTGCGTCGAACAGCAGGGACACTGGCTTTATTTTAGAATATATTTTTTTACAAACGAAAGACATTTGAAAAATGTATATCGTGTAGTACACGTGTTCCATATAGTTCAGTTGACATAAAAAAAATCGTTGGTATATATGGGTCAATCAACTTTTACTTGTCCGACGACCAACTCATTGTGTCCCAGACAAAGTGAGACCACTAACAAGAATTCTTTAAAACTATAATTGTTTTATGTATAGTTTTCTTAAAATGAATACTAAAATAAATATATCATTAACCAACATCTTTACTAAATATACAAATTTATCCATTATTTAATGGTTGTCCGAGTGACCCAAAACTTCGATCCATAGTATTAACGTTTGTCCCCAAGTAACGTCGCACCATGGTATTTCATGCCACGAAAAAAATCAATATCCAGCAGGTATTTGTAATTACATATTTAAACATTATGATTATTACTGTTGTCAAAAAAACGTATCGATATTTTTTATTTTATCCATTTTAGGATTTTTTTGCATTCAGTTTTTGTCCCCGTAAAATCTTACGTGGCTTAAGTCTATCGGACAACCGGTAAAAAGTTCTAGCAACAATACAGAGATGGCGCGATAGCTATAATGACAAAAAGCTATTTATACCAGTAAGCGAATAGACTTAGTCGCCATCTTAATTTCGGCGAAACCGTGGCGTCAGTTGATCGAGGTCCGAGTTCGAACGTGGGTGTGTTTATTGCGTGTCCCCCGGACCACCACAAGAAATAGGTAAATAGATTGTTATATTATATTAAATTATAGTGCAACAGATTGTATTTACTCTTGATTTTATTGTGAGAGTGATATAAAAGACACAAAACCTCACTTCTTGCTCAGGTAGCTTAAATTTTAAAAAAAGTCCCTTGGACAACCTGTCGTCTGGACAACCAAATTGGTTGTCCATGGGACATGATTGGTTGTCCGTAGGACCAATTCGTGCAGTTTGATTCTTTGTATAATAAAACTACAAATTTTATTAATTTTCCTAGCTTTACATGTTTAAAATAGTTGTTCTATATGATTTTTGGTATTTATTTTATAGAATGGGAATGTCTGAAAAAGAAAAATCGAGACGCTATAGAGAAAAACTCAAAGCGGACCCAGAAAAATATGCTGAACGAAAAAGAAGAAAGAGAGAAAGCTATCATAAGAACAAAAAATTGATTTCAAATATGCAGCCGAGCGAACAAAAACATTGCAGGACTATTTGGAAATTGCGAAAACAAGAACAAAGAAAACGAATTAAAACAATTGAAAACGTACTTGCCGTTACACCTCCAAGCTCCCCGTCCATTCTGCAGGAAATAAATATACCCCTAGCCCAAAATGTACCCACTCCGCTTCCAAGTCCCGATGTGTTTTCAAATCATAAAAATAAAGAAAACGGAAGAAAAAGGGTTTGTCGAGATAGAACTAAATTATATAAAGAAAACTTACGATTACTGAGCGAAGCTCAGATGTGGAAGAAAAAATATGAAAAATATAAAAAGAGAGCTGCTCGCAAGGAAAAAGAAATACGTAAGATTAAAGAAAAAGAGTCAGAAGAAATAAATGCAGGTATAAGTACTGAAGGATACCACAACAAATATAAAACTTTAACAAATACCATTAGAGAAAGATATAAAAAAATTAAAATCCGAAAAGAGAAAACAATATTGAAAAATATTTTTAAAGACATAAATGCATCTGAAAAGAATAAAATCATAAAAGAGGGTTTAGGTTTACAAGGAAGAATGAGAACAACTAAAAGTGCATGCAGTGGAAATACGGACCTGAAAAATAAGATAGCATGTTTTTTCCAAAGAGATGATGTATTAAGAAATACTGCCGGCAAAAAAGAGACCGTTACCAAAAGCAAAGAGAAGGCACAGAAACGGTTCCTCTTGGACTCCATGAAAAACCTATTTAAAGCGTTTAGGTCCGAGAATCCGGATATCAAATGTTCCTACTACTATTTCACTAAACATCGACCCTTCTATATAGTTAGACCAACAGTGGATGGCAGGGATATGTGTCTCTGTAGAACACACACAAATGCAGCAGTTAAAATAAAAGCTTTAAAAAATAGAAAAGTAATCGATAGCACTAACCTAAGTACACTGATTTTGGAAACTGTTTGTGATATTAATAAACATGATTGCATGTTAGGGATTTGTGAAGACTGTAAGAATAAAAAAATCAAAATAAACGTAGATGCTGTTAAGGATAAAATACAATGGTTTGAGTGGGTGAGAGAAATGGAAACCTACCTGAAAGAAGGGACAAAAATGAAAACTGTCAAGAACGTAAAAAAACTGAAGGAAGACACAGTAGAAAACATGGTGAGGGATTTTAAAGAAGAAATGAAAACTCTAAAGAAACATGTTTTTAATATGAAAACCCAGTACAGGAATTTTCGACAAAGTGTTGATGAGATCCGTTCAAATGAAGCTGTGATTTTAGTCGATCGTTCCATACGTATGCATGCATTGCACAAAGCGACATTGAAGAGGACGGCGAAATCAAAGTGGTATTCTTGAAGTGCGTAAAAGGCGGAAAACTGTTTGTTACAGATGAGAAAGATGTATCATACATAGCGTATGAAGATATAATTAGGAAACTTGATTGTCCAGAAGTACAAGCCAAAAGAGGGGTTGATTACTATAAATTTTTAAATAATATTAATGTTTTTGAAAAATAAGTTTCTTAACGTACACCTATTGATCTCTATTATGCATAAGAAAAAAGAACTATGATAGATTTTTAAGTAAATGTTATTATTAAACTTCAGTACCTGGATATAGTAGTCCGTAATGATTGTAACAATGTGACTGTTTTTTAAAGACTGCAAAGTTTAGTTTGCGTAGAGTAAGTTATTTAAATTAATATTGTTTTTAGCGACGTTGATTATCTTCGAAGTTAGTTTTAATATTATTGATAGCGTAGATTTCATTGCTTCTTATTGTTCTGTTAAAAAGTCTGTTATTATTTTGTTTGACAAGTTTATTGTTTCATGTCTAATTGCTTCTTCATTGCAATGGACTATTGCGCACAATGTTTTCCGTAGTGATAGTTTTAACGAGACTGTTTATTAAAATCTCAAAGCGTTCTTTGCTTAGTCTAAGTTGTGTAGTTGATTATAAGACTAATTGTTTTAAGGATGTTGATTGCTTCTTAAGCACTTAAAAACTTCTATTATTATTTTATGCAAGTCATACTTTGGTTTGTATTAATTTTTAACGTAAATTTTTC